AAGGCTGTAATAAAATTCAGGAAATAGAAAACACCTGGCTCAGTAAAAACTGCCCCTTCCTCTCCACAGTGTCTCTCTGCATCGGCAGTGTCGTTATTCACAATAATGGGCATTTTAGGCTGGATGTTATAAAATGGGATGTTTCCTGAAGCAGCTGAAGTTGAGTACTTTGCTCAAGGTCATATACTGCTAATAACTAAGTTCAATCCAATATGTGTTCGGTGTCTATGATGCCATTTATGTCACAAATATTCGGTATTGTTTTCTAGACTCCTGTACTTCAGAGACAGAGTTGGCGGTCCACTTCCCTATGGGGTTGTGGAGTGATTTACAAAGTGTCTATGTAGTAGTTGTCTGTACATTTTGTGTGTGAGAAGTTGAGTACACAGAAATGGACTGGCAGCAACACTGCTGTTTAGCTGACTAAGGGAGATCATTCACACATTTCATCTGGTTCCTCTGCGTTTAACTTCCCCCTTATCAGCCTCCTGGTGTGTGCTGTTACCCCAGCTGCCCGAACAAAAACAGGCACACAATCAGCTTCTCATTTGAACTGCACCATTTGTGTTTTCATATCCTTTTTGCACTTCTGTTTGAGGGGTTTGTACCTCCGAGGTTCCTCCATAGAAATCTTTGACTGCCTTGTCATTCCCTTCCTGGTGTTTCCAAAGGCTGATTTGCAAGGCTGACCTTCGTAATACTCGTTAATGCACATATGGGGGGTGGTTCCTCTCTCTCACCCGCTTAATAATGACGCATTCAGAAAAGACAAGTTCCAAATTCTCCATTGCATGTTTGAGGATTATGAACAAATATCACTATAAAAGACCACAATGGTTTAGTGTCTAAAAAAACACATTTCAAATTTTTTAATCACATTGGTCGGTTAGTTTACAAGTTCTAACAAGAATGCGGCTCCACTTAACTTGACCAAATGACTTATTTGAAAAATGTAATTTGGTCAAAAATCTGTTTGCCAACCCCCCCCCCCCCCCTTCCCAAACGTTGCTGATCAGGTCTCCCCTCCAGTGAGCCTGAACTTAGCACGAGCTCGTAGGAGATATCATTTGTTAGAGCCTAATTGAGGACATCTGGTCCTTTCCTCCGTGGCGCACCATTGATCTGGAACCAGCTGCAGTGTCATCATGGACAAAGATTCTATGCAGTCCCAGGGAAGACCAGGTTTACTAGAACTTGGGGCCAGGTAGGGGAGGGGATGATGCCCTAGAAAGAGTGTAGAATCCTGGAAGATGTGTGCAGCTCAGCAGTCCTTGTCGTGAACACTTCACATACTCTTAATATTGCAACACTGTCAACAATGGAGGGGTTAGGGTTAGGGTTAGGGTTAGGGTTAGGGGTAAAAGACATACACAAGTTACTCATCTATGCATAAGTGTTACAGTTTAACAATGAATGTCCTACCGTTTCTGCGAGTGCCAAGTGAGGTGATCCTTTTCAGCCTTGGTTCTGCAAGTCATCGAATCTGGAGTCACATTTTACATCCAGACACGAAACCACTCCAACTAATTACTTTTAGCCTGAACAGTAGTTTCAGATGGTTCAGGAATGTGGTCATCCTGATTTTTTCAGGTGCACGAACCATGCACATTCATATAAGTGTCATATGAGTCATTTGAGCCGGTTTCTGAGATCGGGGGGAGTAGAGAATTTGGCAGGTAGGCTAAAGTCATCATTTTTGGATAAGACATTTGTTTAGGCGTTGGTTGTATGGCTTCTCCTCGTCATATTTGCAAGAACAGATCATCTTCAATATAGGATTTCAAGTATGCACTTTATTTTCGAAACCCACTCATCTATGACCAGACTGTTAAATACTGACCGCACCTGAATGAATCACCAGTTCCTGTTTGTGTTGCATGTTTGCAGATCTTTGCTGTCTGATTGTGGTAGTGACTTGTTATCCTTGATTCATGCACATTAGGCTTTGCTTAGCAATGCTTTTTACGTGGGTAGTTTAATTCCCGCATTTTAATACTTGCATATTACTCTGGTTTTTCCTTTTCCTTTATAAGTCTTTTATGTACAGTATACAGTAACTGAAATTTTGCCTACTTATAGAGCAGTAACCGAAGCAGTTAGATTATTTCCCTCAAACGTACAGATACAGTACCTCAGTAGAGATCTGTCACCCTTCAGTCCCATTCTTTAAACACTGCTCCACCTGCTGACTGTCTAGAGGATTGCAATGGAGTGCTGATGCAGATCCCTCAAGTTTGGGTGAAGCTACCCCAGATGTCGGAGCAAAGCGGGGGGTAGGGCGTGGCCTGCGCCGAGTTTATTTTGGCAATAAAGGATAGGTGGCAGCTTCTGGTGCATGATGGGATGCTTCTTTAAACTATCGGTTTTCTTTCGGTGGCTAAGATGCTGCTCTCCTTTTATAAAAAGGCCCCTTCGGATACTTTCCAAGTGCATGCATCTTCCAGGCAAAGTAGTGTGGATGATTTGTCCAGCGTAATGCTTTGCTGTTCTTGTTGCTGCCGTACAGCAAAGGATAGGGATATGAAGTATGTTGTGATTAATTCCAAAGAAAGTAGATGGCAGCAATGATTAATTAATCTCTGCTCTACAAATGTTATTGTGGCTGAACTCCGACCACGAGAAACGGAAAATAGATGGGCCCCAAGATGTCATTTTTTAACAAATGATGCTTGTGTTTGGTTCACAAGACAGGAGCATGTGTTTCTCTTGGGAATGGGCCAAATCTCCCAGTCTGCATGAATTTATCAGCCTTCACCTGCTATGGGGATCTGCTAGTATATCTCCCCTCCCTCTGTATAGGCACTTGGTATTTGGCAATACAGGCAGAACGTACTGTAGGAGCCGAGATTAGTTTCCTTACATTACTAGTACTTGCCACTGGTACCAGCACCTGAGTGATGTTATCAGATACCAGGATGTATTTTCTCTTTCCCCCATCTCTGCACCAGGACAAACTTGGGACTAAATGTTCAATAACTCATTTATCTCTCTTACTGGGAAACCGTAGTGACATGAGCACCTCAGCTGAAGTCTCTATCCATTATCCATTTACTAGGAAACAATGAATCGTCACTGTTTTCTTCTGCAGAAGTGCAGGTTGTGCGTTAAACTTAACTTGTGGATTTTGTGCTGATGTGATGTCATTGTAGTAGACCTTGTAGTGCTGAGCTCTGCACTTGAATGTCAAACCTGGCTGTAGCTCAATCTCAAAGAGGTAATTTCTTTTGTACTCCAGTTTGCAGTAGCGGGCACTGCACCAATCTCAGATTTACTCTCCTATGACGATTGATTACAGTCTTTTTTTTTTCTTTATTTTTCTTCATCAAAGTAAATATCCAGGATATGCACCAGTGAGCCAGAGGCTTGGTCAAAGTGAAACATGTATTGAAAATGGAGAAACTTAAAAAGAAATTGTAAGAACAGCTGAGTATACAAGAGGAATCTTTTGGAAGTTATTAAAGTAAATTGCAGTGAGAATGTTAAAAGAGAAATCCTTTGCCAAATAGGGCTAATTTTGGTTTTGTAATTGATAAAACAGTCACTCTTAGGGTTGTTTTCCTTACAATGAGATGACGTCCATATTTTTCCTATATATTTTGTATAGGAAAAATGTTATTGTCATTTTGTTATCATCTAACCTGCACTTAATTGTTTTCTAGCCCCAAGGCTCATGGGAAGGCAGCACAGTTACACAAAGGATTTTTTTGTCTTAATTTAACAAGTTGGAACCAGAAACATAATCTGTGAGCATTCATAATGAAATCAATAAAACATTTGAGTTCATAGTCTTCCAATACAAATCAGAAATGTTGCAACTCCAATGCCACGTAAAACCTCTTTGCAGGAAGTGCATGTGATTAATCATTTTGTAGTGAGTGAGATGCTCCAAGCACGGAATAAAACGGTATATTTTTGCTTGGAATTCTCCTTCAAGTTGAAAAACTTGAGTCAGCCAATGTAACCTTCAGGTGCTGAGGACGTTCCCAACCTGGCTTGAGGGCTGCCCATCATGGGGGAGCGTTTATAGAAAACTTGAAATGGAGTTACTTTCAGAACTTAAGCATTAGAATGTGTAGCACTACTCATTACAATCACCCAAACTGTAAGCTAAACTATTCAAGCCTCAGATTCTGTTTCTGATCTAATGACTAGCATTTTTAAAAACCAAACTCTTCTTTTTTGGGAGGTTACTGCTTTCATGTACAGTTAGAGGAGTTCCCTCCGTCCATTCACCTGTCCACTATTCTGCTGGTCAGGCTAACGGGGGGGTTTGGGGCCCGGGGCCCGGGGCCCATACCAACACATCACAGAGCATATGGCTGTCGTCTGTGCTACAGTAAACTGTGAAGCTTGGCAGAATTAACCCCAGGCTTGAGTACATGCCTGTGAGGCTGGACACACACACACACACACACACACATGGTGGGCAGACATCTGTGGAGTTCATGTACATTGTACATCTTGATTTTATATGTTAAGAAATATTTGTGGATTTCGGCCTGCCAGAGAGACACAAAGTTGTGTCAAAACAAGCTGTAGGGTAATCTGACAGTGGTTATGTGCTGTGGTGATATTTGGATATATCTCTTAAGAGACCTCTGGTTTTCCTCATTTTTCTTGCTTTTGAACTTCCAAGCTTTGCTTGCACATGCGTAAAGGTGGAAGCGGCACCTCTTTTGGTGAGGTAAACTATGTGTCCAGGTTGGTCAGCTGTAAAGAGATGTCCAAACGGATTTAAGGCTCATGACTCAGAATGTAAGCTGATCCAGATCTTTGGCCGTGTATATCACATCGAGTCCTTTGGCACACAAGTTTCTTTTAAAAACCTCTGAATTATTTTGCAGCGTAATAGGTTTTTGTTGTATTTTTTTCATTGTTGTGGGACTTTTTTCTGCACTGTGCAAAATATCACAAGTTTTTTGTGCAACGGTGGAATGTAAGTGAATGAATGACAGTGGAAGTCTTTCCTCATTTTGCTCCTGTGGTGTTTTATTTTCCAGGTCTGGTGGAGATTTGCCTCATGCACCCGCTGGACGTGGTAAAGACTAGGTAAGATCTTAATGGCTGCACTGTTCCACCCTGATGGAATGGCTTCCACTTCCCTAAATGCCCTTACTCCTCCCATAGTCTGTAATGAATCCTCTCAAACAGACAGCGGCTAGATAATCGGGGCGGTCTTTCTCTCTCCTGCCTCCACTCCCCAATGTCTTTTTACAGTCCCAAATCACAGGAGAACCTGCTGTACAAAACTGTTTGTACAAAAAGAAAAGCAGATAGGTTTTTATATATATATTAATAATTGCAGTGAAGTCCTTGTGTTTAAATTGAGTGTTTTGTGACCACATTGCATACAGATAATGATTTCTGTCTTTGACTATATATATTACTAAGTCACTAAATTAATGGACCTTATGTATTTAATTAAATTCTTCTTACTGAAATATAATGAATATGTTATGTAGTATCCTGTAACCCTGTTCATTGTAAGTAGGTGGACAGATGGATGAATATGTTATTACAAATATCAGCGTTGCATGGTAAGGTTGTAGACCTGAATTACAGTGGCCACATGATGACTGAATACTGTGTATTGTTAAATTCCATTTTTCACTGCGGACAGCAGCTGTACCCTATGCCTCCTACACTAATTATTGGTTTGCCCAACTTTTTGCTCCTACTGTATTGTTGGCCTTGGCAATTCTACCCCAGACTTGTCTTCTTTCACTTTGTCTGGTTAATTGTTGTTCACTTAATTAATCACATAACATTGCATGTAATGTGTGTGTCCAACTATGAAGCTTGTAGGATGATTATCCTGCAGATCAGTCAGTACGTTTTATGCAAAAAAGATTTCCCAGTCCTATGTACACAGAACGAAGAGGAAACATGAAAGGAAAAGCTATTTAAGCAGATATTCTCTCCAATTTTTTTCATAGTCCTACAGGCCGTTATTTCCAAGGCTATACTTGGGAGTTCGAACCTGTCAGGTGTGCTCTTAGGACAATGCCAGACCTGCAGAATGCTGCAGGAACTAGACACTTCTGCTTTTCAGCAAAAGGGGGGCGGTGTGTCTGAATATTATAGAAATGTAACGGTATACATATTCGTACCGAAAATTTTCTTTCAGTTCGGTACGCATATGTACTGAACGAATGCAGCAAATGCGGAAAATGTGTGTGTTTGTGCGTTTCCCCCGAGCAGCATTCGGGAAGGGGCGGATGAAGCCGCGCCACTACGCATGCGCGCGTACATCATAACTGACGCTGGAAGTTTTTAATTTCAATACAAGTACAGCACAGGTATTTTTATAAATGCTGCACCATAATGGATATTCATTATGCTATGCTTTGTATTTTTTGAGACAATATTTGTGTTGACCAATTCAAATATGAAGCTGAAAGCTGCTAACGTGAATACTACGGAGCCCCTTAGGTGTCACGGAAGAAAAAAAATATTAAATCGAAACGCTCCATGACCCTGTGTCCATGAATGATCAATTGGGTAGCAATACAAAATTCGCGGGCACGAATTACTAAATCGATGGTACGATTCACTAAATCGAGCGCCCAAATTAGTAATTCGAGGGAACGAAATAATATTTTTTTCTACCGTAACACCTAAGGGGCTCCGTAGAATACAGTACAGATCAGGTACAGTTAATTTTCTGAATGTGCACCATAATGGATATATATTGTATTATTTACCTGAGAGAATATTTATTTTGATTTAAGTAAGTTTTCGTTTTTATTAGTAGGTTGCAGCAGTTTCGACAGAGACTTTTCATTTAAGAAAAAGTCATACTTTGTTCAGCAAACCACCCTTTAATACAGAAAAAAGAAGAAAGTTTTTTGTTTCTATTATGTCCGCCGTACCGAAACGTACCGAACCATAACTGCGTAGCAAACCGTGATTTTTGTGTACCGTTACACCCCTACTGAATATGTTCCAGCCCACAGAAACTACATATAACATGAGATGTTTTTCACAGTGGTTATGGATGTTTCTGGAATGCCTGCCATTAAACCCCGCAACTCATATTTTCCCCCCTTTTTCAGCAATCCTTCCTGTTCTGTGCGCCGCATGGTACACCCGAATGCCAAAAAAAAAACGAAACCATTTTGTGGAAAATGAAATGCACCATTTACCCATTCTTCCCCCTCTGCGTTTAAGTCGTACATTCTTTATGTTTTGCAAATTATTCAATTTGCTTCCGACCTTGTTATTTAATTTAACTCCGACCCTTTCTTCATAGCTTGTGGTTGTCAAAGGAATATGAAGCTGAAATCAAAGCTTCTGAGAACGATTGTTTTTTTCCCCCCGTAATCCTGCCCGCAGCCTCTCCTCCTGCTCCCTCTCTGCATTGCAGTGGCCCAGCGAGGAAAATGATTAAGTCCTTTACACTCCACCCCATTCATCTGCAGTTAACAGATCATGGCCGCTACTAAAGCTTTACGGTCTCTGGCGAGCCATGCCAAGACCTTTGGCTCGACTCCAGAGCGACCCCCCCCCCTCATAAATCCCCCCCTTTGTCAATAAATCCTGCTGCTTGTCTGTCATTTACAGCAGTAGTTTCTTGGTAAATAAACTTCTAGGCGTGCCTTTTAAAGTGCGCCAGTGGTGCTTTGAAGGGGCAGGCACCAAATAGGGGAGGAGGGTGGTAGTGGGGTGGGGAGGTGAACCTCAGGATAATGGGGTGGCATCTGTGGGTATCAGATACCCCAGAGTCGTGCAACAAGATTTGTGACCCACGGCAGAAAGTATGGGGTTTATTACAGGTGAAATCTGTGTGCCGTCTCTCTTCGTACGAGGTCGGGGTTAAAAGTGCACTTTCTATTTTCTTTGTAATGCCCCTAAAAGAGCGATAAAACAACCCCTTAAAACACGGCTGTGTTTATGTGTCACAGGCGGGTGTTTTTCTTCTGCTCTCACTAAATGGATGACAATAGGCTCGATGACACGCTTGACGCTAAACAGAGCTGTCATTGTTACCTTGACGTTATCCTTTATTATGTATTAATGCTCCCCGTTTTGTAGCTGGAAAGAGTAAAGCGTCATTAGTATCGTAAGCCATGTTTTTCAACTTGGCCTTCTGTTCGCTATCTGGAGGTGAAGTTCAGTGGAAATCCGCTGCCTAGAACTGTGGTTGTAATTGCATAGATTGAGTCCGTTCGGCTTGTTTTTTAGACTGGTGGCTTCTGGAATGCGTGAGCATCTCTCATCTGTTTTTAGATAAGAACGTAATCTTACGACCAGTGAATAATAATGCAACTAGTTAACAGTATCGTTTTAGAGGTGTACATCTTTGCTTGTTGACAGTATTTTATTTTTTTCTCTATAATAATTGAAATGTTAAACTTCTCACTGTAAAATTCTTGAACCTGAAATTTCTGAAAATGGCACTGTCAGTTGAAGAGCAAAACTTTCTCAGACCATTTTTTGTTGTCTTTGAGATGAGACTGCCAGTGACCCAAAGTCAGGCTTCCTCATCATATGTTACAGTATCAGGACTCAGTCCTGGTGTAAAATCCAATGAAGAGCTTTTGTTACATTTCCAAGACTCATCAAGTCCACAGAAATGTTCTCGAAACTGTGAGTTTTGCAATTTGACTCTTCAGTCACATTCTCCCGCAGTGTGTTGATATTGCTCAGAGTCTCTTTTGTGTTTGCATGTTTGTCTGTATGATATTTGGCAAGGATTCATGGAGAAGAGGTACTGGTTTATTCTCAATGTTTACATGGCACACAAGCGATATTTGGGGTGGTATGGTGCTTCAGTGGGCATACTCTCTCACCTTGGGGGTCAGTGGGTGCTCGTGCGTGTGTGCGTGTCCTACAGTCAGGGTGTATGACTGTGTTGTGTCCTGTGCGGCCAGGAATAGGTTGAGAGTGGTTGAAGGACACTTTATTATGCAAATAGTGAAATAGTTCACTAAAATTAATATCACGTGAGCAGTATGAATAGAATTGCTGAACAGTTGGTAATAAATCATTACTGACTACTGTAAATACATTAATATTTGCATGCTGCAAGAAAACACCTGCTGTTTAGCCGTCTTCAACATTGTGTAGATACACATGCTTGAAGACCAAGCCCAGAACCTTCAGTACTGAATATTAGCACAGCTGTATATAACATCTAAACAAGGCTTTAGCATATGAACAATACATTTATTTATATAGCACTTGTACCAATGCATATAACACTTAAAACCAATGCATATATAAAATTAATACTGCAATCAGTAAAAAAAATAAAACACAGAGACAAAAGTACGTATAAAAACAAACAAAACATAATATCCTAGTCGAATGCCTGTGTAAACAAATTCATTTTCAGCAGCCGTTTAAAAAAATATATATGCATACACTCATACATAGATCCCATTTGGGGACCAAAATGTCAGGTTCCCCTTTGCTAATCTCACTGCAATAAAATTCTGTGAATGCAATCAAATATAGTAAAAAGTCTTGTATTTTGTTTGATTCCTTATGGTTAAGGTTAGTGCTGGGTAGGGGTTAAGGGTGTTGTGATTGGGACTAGGATTTTTCTCATAGAAATGAATGGTGTGTGTGTGTGTGTTTGCGAGCAGGAACACCTATCCTTATGGGAACACAATGTCTCCATAACGTGATACTGTAAATATCCATTTTTTCCCTTATGGGGACCCGGAAACCGGTCTTTTATCTAAAACTCTATTTTATAAAAATCAGTGATTCCTATCAAAAAACTAAAAATGCAATAACTCTTGTATTTTGCTTGGTTACTTATGGTTGTGGTTAGGACAGGGTGGGGCTAAAGTTGTCATAGTTAGCGTTAGCATTTTTCCCATAGAAGTGAATGAGCGGTCCCCATGAGGATAGGTATACCTGACATGTGCATGTGTGTGTGTGTGTGTGTGTGTGTGTGTGTGTGTGTGTGTGTGCGTGCATGTGTGTGTGTGTGTGTGTGTGTGTTCTAGTAACTGCAAACATGCATTGCTCTAAATCACTTTGCGCACACACACACACACATACATACAGTACATGCCCAGTCTCGGCCTAATTGGAAA